GCTCCTCCTGCCTCTATATCCCAAGTACTACAGACAGACACTGGAGTGCCTGATTATGTGGTGCTGGAGATTGAACCCAGGACTTTGTGTGAGCTACATTCCCAACCCTGCGAAGGTTCCAATATGCTTGGTCTGACCTACCAGCTAGTCACTGACATGTTTCCAAGCTCCACAGTGCCTTGGGTGGAACTGGCCTTGCCAGCAGGCCAGTACATGTGGGTAAACCTGTTATAGTCTGGGGGTCTTAATCCAGTTAGTTTTCTCTGCCAGTTACAGAGCTGAAAGGCAGGAAGAAAGTCTGGAGAGAGACAGGCAGCAGAGGAGAAATCTCAAACACAGCGAACAGGAACAGACAGCTGAAGAAAGGCGTTTATTACAGGTCAGGAAACACACCCAGAGCAAACCCACCCAGACAAAGACCCTCTGCAAAGCAGTGCGGTGGGGGGGGGGGGGGGGGGATGGGGAAGCTCCGGAAGCCAAAAAAATCTCTTCTTGGGGGCTGGAGATTTTTAGGTCTCTGAAGAGTTTCCTCTCCTGATTGAAGAAGAAGAAAGAAGCTTGAAGAAACATGGGATGGTGACTGGCCCACAACTGTTGTGTGCCATGTCTCGATAAAGCCTGGAATTTGCTCGGCAGTGGGCGCACGCCTTTAATCCCAGCACTCGGGAGGCAGAGGCAGGCGGATCTCCGTGAGTTCGAGGCCAGCCTGGGCTACAGAGTGAGTTCCAGGAGAGGCTCCAAAGATACACAGAGAAACCCTGACTCAACAAACAAACAAACAAACAAACAAACAAACAAACAAACAAACAAGCCTGGAATTTATTGAGCCAGTCCATCAGCTGGAGACCTGTTGGTGGGAGAAAAGGTCAGGCTTTTGTCTCAAGTCAGGAGCGGGGAGGAACCTCAAGTCTGCCTTGTGGTTTCTCCATGTGACTGTACAAAGAAGGGAAAGTGTGGGACTGGGGTTTGATGGCGTCCATCTGCAGTTCCTCAGTTTCTCCAAGCCTGGGAATGTTCTGGTAATTACATACCCAGGCTTGTCTCTACTTTGCCCTTGGACCTCTCAGTTTTAGATGCTCTGGTATGGAGCTGGATCATGGGAAATGTCAAGCTCTACACTGTCCTGGGAAAACCAGGTGGACCAAGCTAAAAACCACTGTTAAAAATAACACAGAAAATGAGGCTGGAGAGATGGCTCAGTGGTCAAGACCTCTGGCTGCTCTTCCAGAGGACCCGGGTTCAATTCTCAGCACCCACATGGTGGCTCACACCTGCCTGTAACTCCAGTTCCAGGGCTTCCGACACCCTCACACAGAGATACATGCAGGCAAAACACTAACAATCATAAAATTAAAAAAAAAATCAACATGGAAACTACGAAAAATATTACTTGAGCCTTTCAACTGCCATGTATTTATCTGCCAGGGTTTCACTATGTACCCCATTCTGGGCTTAAACTCAGCAGTCCTGTTTCAGCCCCCTGAGCTCTGGAATTAAAGGCATGTGCCACACCACCAAGATGTAGGCATTGTTTTTCTTATCCAGTAGAAACATTAAAATATAACATTAATTCCTGCTTAACGTCAAAGGGCTAGGAAGTGGCTAGCACGGGACTCTGCCTCCGAATCCTGTTGACTTTGTTACTGCCCGTGCTTAGGCTCGGCTGTTGGCCTTAATTAATGTATCCATTATAATCTGGGCATGGGAGAGGTGCAGACAGGAGAGGGGAAGAGGAGTGATGATGTGAGAGCTTCACTTCCCAGTCATAAGATAAAGGAGAAGATAACTTGAAGAGGCAACTGGTGTATGCTCAGCAGGGATGCTGGGTGCTTCCAACAAGAGTGTCAGAAGGGAGTTCTGAGTGGCCCAGAGCCACAGGGAGAGAGGAATTCGTCATCTCTAGGGAAGGGCTCAGCCGTTCAAAGTCAATTGCCTGTAATGTCTTTTTTAAAAAATATTGATTTTTTGAGACAGGGTCTCACTATGTAGGCCTGGCTGAACTGGAACTTGGTATATAGAGCAGGCTGTCCTTGAAATCACAGAATTAAACAATATTAAAGGTGTGTGCCATCACGCTGGCCTGCCTGCGATATATTTCATAAAAGTGGTCACTTCCTGTAAGTTGCCCTAGGGAGAGAGAGAGGCAGATAGACAGACACATACACACACACACACACACACACACACACACACACACACACACACACAGAGACTGAGAAACGGAGGTGGGGACTACAATATGGAGGGCCATCCGGATAGACATTGTGTCCTCACCATGGGAAATGTTACTTAAAGTATAATATGAATATCAGAAAAAAATTGTATTTTTAAAATTTATGTGTGTGTGTGTGTGTGTGTGTGTGTGTGTGTGTGTAGGAGCCTGTAGAAATCAGAACAGGGTGCTAGATCTTGTGGAACTGCAGTTACAGGTCATCGTGAGCTGCCTGATGCTGAAGTGGGTGCTGGGAACTGAACTCAAATCCTGTGCAGAAGCAGAAGG